GATGGACTCTGCAATGAGTCCGAAACGTCAGAACTCAACTGTAAACATGGATATATCCTCAAGCACTTCAAGCAACAAGACAATCCATGAAAGTTTTAACACATTCATCATTGTTTTATATTTCATTAACAAGTGTATAATTTCTCTGTTAAATTATTAGAAAGTATGTTTTGTTAATTATACTAAGATTATGTGTTGCAATAATTATAAAAGAAATAAATGAACAAATAATTTATATTTTATATATTAGATATTTGATATGATACTATTACCAATGATAAATTAAACGTTAAATAAAATATTTTATGGCCAAAAAACCTTGATAAAATCTATTGATACTTGAAAATAATAAATTTCTATATTAAATTTAATATATTTTTAATTTTGAATTAAAATATAATTGAATGAAATAATTTTATCTTGTATTATCTAATTAATTAAATAATTCATACTGTTGCAATTTTTAATTTACCCTTTAGCTCTGATTTATTTAAATTAGTACTGGGTACAAAAAGTTACCATTAGTTTATTGAGATTGGATATCATTAGGCTTACATTAAAGATGTGGTTAACCGTGCGTCACAAAGGTCCTAAGACTAATTTTACAAAACGACAAAAAATTACCCTTGAATCATTTTTATTGTATAATTACTCTACATAATCGCATCCTAACTCAATGCAATAGTAAGATCTGTTTACCAACTTCTCCAAAGCATGTTGAAAGTGTTTTTTCTGAATTGTCTTTAGCTCCTTGTTGTACTGTCTAAATTTTTTTCAAATGACGTTTTTTTTCTTCATTTTTAACTTTTAATCTTTGGTTAAAATTTTATAAACCATTTCTCTATTAACTTGAATTCAACTAATAATCCAATCGCTGTTCGCTGTTGTTTCTGTAATGATTTCCGCACTCGTTCAATGTTGTCCGTGTGGCTGCTTCTTGTACGACTTGTCCTCTCATCTTCTATGTTCTTTCTACCTATATTAAATTGCAAAACCATAAAAATAAACTTAGAATGACTAAAATAAAGCGTGCCGTACGCTTGTTTAATTAAAATTAACTTTTTGGAAGCCGTACTACCAACTATTATACAAAATTTTTATTTCATACAGTAGTCTCTAAATGAGACTCCTAACAATGTGTAAAAGCTATTAAATGAAAAATCGTTAAAGTTCTTATACTACGATATGTACATCAATGAATTTAATGCGTGATCACCTACTTTTATAGGCGTAAAATAATTGCTGACTGAACTGGATGCAGCCGCTTGTTTTGCCGTTTTATGTTTCTTTCTTCTCAAATGATCGGTTATATCTGCCCGACCTCTATGACTAACCTTTTTGCATCTACTAATAACAATACGTCTCTTATCAATAAAATATTAATGAAAAGAAATGAAAAATGTATTAACACGTGCAAGTTGTCCGGATTGCCTTTAGTGTTAACATAAGATAAACCACTTTTTCTCGCTTTCTTGGCAATATTACGTTTCCAAAGAGATGGATCACCTTTTAGCTATTTTGATGGATTATTAAATTCTTCATCCATAATGAGCACAATTATTATTTTTTGTTAGTAAATAATTAAGCACACAATAAAGTTCCAAACAACGTTGTTTATTAACGAGTAAATAAAAAAAAAGTTTTCTTGTACCATTATCAATTGGTATTAAATATCAAGTGATAATAATACAAAAAAAAACATCAATTGATAGTAGAATAACACTACATGATAATAAATTTATTATTTTAAATAATTGGGATAATACAAGTTGCTTACTTCGTTTTTTGTAGCAATAAATTGTAATCCAAAAACAATTTAAAAAAACCTTTCGATTATAGAGGTATCAAATTCGTACTTTATTTAATAATTATGTTATTCATAAATGGTAAGATAAAATTTTTAATATAACTCTTTTTTCGTCACGAAATTAAAATAATAAATCAAAACAAATTCTTTTCGAATAAAAGCAAAACACATAAAAAGACAGCCGACAACAACATGGGGTCGAAATTGTTGTTTTAGATTCGAATTCGACAAAAGCAAACAGGAGTCTGAAAGGACTTCAGTGCTTTTTATAGTTGTGATAGTACTCCGAATCCAGGGATATTGTTGTCAGCGCTTTTAGTGATAATTTTAGTTTATTGTATTCAATTATACATTACATCAGGGGTTTCCAACCTTTTTTTACGGCGGGCCGAATCTTTAATATTCTTTGGCATCGCGGGCCAACATTTTTAGAGGAATAGGAAGGTTGAAATTGTAGAATAGATAAAATTAATTTTAAAAAAATGTGCATTTATATAATTTATTTTTATTTTTTATAATTTAAAATGTATTTTTTTTTATATGAATAAGTTATATTTTTAATATGAGACATTTGGAATTGCTTACTTTTTAAAATTTCTTGGTAGTTTGCATCTAACTTTGTGGTTCATTTTCAAGTTTGAATTTGTTGCAAGTTGAAAAATAGGCAAGAATTCTTTTTTCTTCAAGTTGCTTTATAAGTAGAGTTAATTTTAATTTAAAAGCTTTGATATAGGAGTATAGATCTGAAATTTATTATGAGATTGCATCTTGAAGCTTTAAATTTAACTCATTCAGGAACTGAGTTATATCAACGACAAAAACTATTTTCCTTAACCATGAAATAGTCCTGAGAACAAACATACCTACATGTATCAGATGTACTTCTTATACATAGTATCAAAAACTCACCAAAATTGCCGTCCAGTCGTCTTTTTGTAGATCATGGACTCGTACTCGTCGTCCGAGTTCGGGCCGCTTAAATCTTCGAACGTACGCCAAGGGAGGCTTGGATTCACTAACAACGGCAAGCTCCGTTTGTACTGGGGCACGTATGAACGACGAGGACGAGGTGGTTGTGGGTGGAGACACGTGAATCATCGTTTCGGGACGCTGGATTGTTCTGCTGTGTTTTCTGACCACCTTTGTGATGTCAATAACACATTCTCGAACTCCACTAGGTGCATCGGGCACAACAACCCAACTCCGGTAATAATATCGGGCGTCGCTAGCAGACGTATCAGCTGCGAGCACTGCATATCTATCCAGTTTCTCGTGATACGTCTGTTTTCTTAAACCAGCAGTGTAGCCATGGCCGACGTGAATGACTTGCCCGTGTCATCCAGCTTGAAACATATCAGAGACTTTGGTACGCTTAGTTTGTTCGTCCATGTTCGAGGATTCAAGATTTTCCTGTCTTCGACAAACAACTAGATGATGATAAGTGCTGCCAACAGAGGAAACCTAATTTCCTCGTTCACAAATAGAAGCAATCGAGTGACCGTCGATACCATGTTCGAATCGTACAGAAGGCGATTTGATATATTACGCGGTTCCCGCACAGTATGCCAGGAGCTTGGTGCTTGCTCGAAAAAGAAGAACTCTTCTCTTTCCGACGACGACGACATTAGGGGGGAGGAGGTACCCCGCCCGGTAGATCTACCAAACGCCCGGCGGTCACCGTTATGTATAAATAATAATAAATTGTGTTGAACAGTGTACATGTTATGACAAATCAGTTAATTGTTTGTCTACAAGTAATTAAAATATAGATTATAAATTTTTCATTGATAAATTTAAGATTCGTAATGCAAAGCATTGGGCATATTACGTCAAAAGTATTAAAACTTGTGCTGAATGCAAATATAAACAAAGTAATATTTTATACATAATATTTGCCTTGATTTTTGTGTAAACCTATGGATTTATTTGGAAACAAAATGGTAACAGGAAGAATATGAAATGATGAATAATATTTAGTTGATCATGTACAATTAATATTGAATGATAATTTAATATTATAAATGGGTTTTTTGAGAACATTAGATTTATAAGATTTTTTTATTTATCAGTGAATTATAGAAAAATTGTTTTATTTTGAGAAACTGCAAGATAAATAGCGTGCTTGCTTTATCAATAATTGATTATTAATATTTTTTAATTATTTTATACACCAGTTTAATCTTTTCAGTCCTGACACCAGAAAAAATGAATATAATACATTTTGTTTTTCACAAACTATTTAATTATGAAGCAAATAAGTACTAAAAATTTTTTTTTTTTTTGAAACCCTATTCCCCCTTTTTTGACCCGTCAAGGAACTGTGCAGGGAAACTAAAACATAAACTATAAGTCAAATTTATATTTGTATTTTTTTATTAAAAGAAATATTTCAAAATTATTTTAAGTATTGAATGTAAGATAAATAGTTATTTAAATTGAAAATAAAAATTAAGCAGTGTTTAATTCCGTTTTTCGATACATAAGAAGATTTGACAATGCGGAAAAACTTCTCGTCCTTTGAGGCGATTCAATTTTTAAGCCATTTTTCAATATCTTCGAAAGAAGTGAGTCGGTCACCTGTCAAATCGTTTTGCATTCGACTAAATAACCAAAAGTCAAAAGGAGCAATGTCAGGAGAATACGACGGGTGCGGTAAAATATCCCATTTGACTGTTTTCAAATATTTTTTGACAACTTTCGCGACGTGAGGCCGAGCGTTGTCGTGCAGAACGTCTTTGCCTCAAAATAGGCCTCAGAGTTTCAATGATATCCTCTTTATTCGAGTGACATTTCTTTAAGAATTTTTTTAAGATCTTTGAATAGCTAATAGTGGCTGAGAGTCGCCAAATCAGGAGAATACGGTGGATATGGGAGCAATTGAATCTGTAATTCATGTAGTCTTGCTATTGTTTTTTTTACTATTGTTGTTTTTGTGACACGGTGCGTTGTTGTCTTGATGAAACACAAATTTGTTTGCAATTTCGGCCTTCATACGCTTTAATAAGCTTATCCCAAAATACTGAGGCCATAACCTTTTCAGATGATTGTTGTGCTTTTGAGCTCTTTGGACGAGTTTCACCGGTTGTCCACTCAGATGACGATCATTTTGATTTTGTAGTGATGGATCCATGTTTCATTCATTGTCACATATCAACGCGAAAATTCCGGTATTTACTGTCATTTTATGTATTAGGTTTTAAAAATGATGACCACCAGCAGCGATACATTAATGAAGAGATTTCTGAAGTTTTCGGCCGCATTTTGACACATTTCGACTGGTATAGCACCGATTTCCTCACGAATTCGCTCTTTGATATCTTCCAAAGTGCGAGGTCGATTTTTAAAAATCTTTTCCTTCAGATAGCCTCACAAGAAAAAATCACAAATGCTAAAATCCGGTGAGCGCGCAGGCCACCCCACATCACTCTCAGAGAGACGAGGTGTATTGAGAAGATGAAGCTATTGAAAATTACTACTACGTAATGAATAAGAAGGTAAGAAAACCATACCTTTTCCAGATTATTTAAATACATAGCGAAAATAAATTATTTAAAACATATAAACATTAATAAAGAAGAATAAAATAAACAGAATACATAGAATTTTAAATTTTAAATTTAATCCATTAAGCTAAGAAAGTAGTAATTTTTTTTATTAATTCAAAATCTTAGAAATATATTTATGAAAATTAAAACTTCATAACTGTGTTTTTTTAAATATATTGGGATAATGATTTATAAATGTGTCATCTATTATAAGATAATGTTTGAGGATGACATTTTTAAAATTACGTAAGTCTAAGTACGTTAATTTTATGGTTTTTTATTTTTACGACACATTTATTTAAAATTCGAATTTCAGAATAATCTGTTACAGCGCTAATTTCTAAGACTATGTAAATTAAATTAATCCCATAATTTGGACTGACTCTTAGGAGTTATTGTTATGCTTTAGCTAGCTATTATTCTTAACCATTGGACGTGGCCCCAATCACTGCACATGCCTACCCGGTGTGTACGATTGTAAGCCAATCTCTATTAAAATTCTACGTCATATTTGGAGTAGTGAGCAAGTTGCTCACTTAACCTAGCAATTGGTTTGTCTTTTAAATAATTTATTACATCACTTTCCCAAATACTTTGGTTATCTTTCAAGTGATAATTGTGATACCTAATTTGTTGTACCTGACATTTATTGCATAGAATTTTCTTAGTGTATTTAATATTTTTTTGTTGTCCACCATGTTTTGACTCTATATATTTGATTGCATGAGTGAACCATATTTATAATTTTTGGTTATTATTATTATTTTTATATACTATTATCAAGATTAAATAAATTATATTAATTAAAACTTAAATATTTTACTTAAAGGGTTAATAATTGTATGCTTTCTGGTATTTTTCATTTATTCATACGTATGCAGTATCATGGGGTCCAACCGAACCCCCAAAAATTTTAATGGTTTCTAATAACAATAAATTTTTTTAAACTTCTTAACTATTTTAAATTTATTCATAAACATATAATGCATCAATAAACAACTTAAAAATTTTTTTTTTTTTAATCTTATTTTGTTTATTCCCTAAAAAATAAAAAAAAAATGTTTTACTAACATTTAATTTTAAATATAGCTTATTTTTTTTACATTTAAACTTTAATTGATTAGATTCTATGAAAAATTTAATTTTTATGTTATTTGCAAGCATCCTAAAAAAAAAAAAAAAAAATTAATTCTTTTGTCGGGTTGATTTTGGTAATAATTTTCAATCAAAATTTGATTTATATTTTACCTTTACTTTTGGTAGTGGCAACAAACATTTATTTTTGATGAGTGTATTTGACAGATGTGAGCATTGGATTTAAAACATACTAATTTAGTTTTTTTATCTTTGGATCTTGAACAACTTGAACACCTTTTATTGGTAGATGAACCTTGTTAAACACTTGGTTCAGATGTGTTCATATTTTCTTTTTCTAGAATTTTTTGTATTGCTGTTGAAATATCTCGAGGCAAATTGTGCATTTGAGTTCTCTGTTCAAGGTGTTCTAAAATCAAAGATTTTCCAACTTTCACTATAAACTGCTGACAGGTTATTTTTGTGTTTGGATTTGAACTTGAATATATTATTGGATGTTTAAGAAATCGTTCTTTTAGACTACTTATAAAAGAATCAATTTAAGGAATGGCTATTGTGATTCTATAATAATCTTTTGGGCAAAGTGAAACGTCCAGAAATGGATTTGCACGGTTCTGTTGTCTTCCATTTAGTCGCTTTACTGTAAGATTGTTGTCCAGAATTAGAACCATTTCTGGAAAAAAAAGAAAAATGTTTTTATAATGAAATTATAAATTGTGATATTTAGTTTTTATAACTACTTCCAAACATAAGATTGAATTCTTCTTCGATATTTTTTCTCAATTCTGTAATTATTAATTCATTACTTTCAGCAAACTCAACGGCTTCTTTAAGATCAATGCTACTTTTTTGTAAACATTTACACAGAGGCAATCCATAAGAAAGTATTACTTAGAACTTATTGAAATAATTAAAATGTAAAATAGTTATTTTATATTACTTTTTTAATGACTTGAAGTGAAATTAAAAATGTTGAGTTCATTGACTTTAACAATAAATTTGCATTACATACTGAAGAATTGTCATTGAACGTGTTATATATTTCTTCTAATGCATTTACAATACACGAAAACAGTTCAACAAAGTCATTAATTGCAGAATATCTTTCTACCCACCGTGTAGCACATAATTGGCATGTGTCTTGGCAGTCGAACTAGAATGCTTGCCACTCCGAATAGCTATAAATATTGGTCCTGAATAGGTTAATTTTGAAGGATTGCCAAAACCATTTGGTTCAATAACAATACCAGCGTATATAGACGGCATCAATTTATGTCTAGCAGCCATTACCCAGTCATGGTTTGGAAGAGAAACTCTATATTACATGTGCATTAATAATGGTGCTTGTTTTGAAGCTGTTGTGAGTCCGATCGGAACTCGGGCTTTATCATCCTGAGAAAGAAAAAATACTTCATTGGGTCCAAGAAAAGAAGACTCTCTAAATATCTAATTGAAGCTGTCGCAAACTCTGTACCAATGTGTTTTTCTTTAAATCATTTTGAGCACAAATTAATTTCACCGGAACTGTAGATACATGTCTTTTTCCTTCACGAGAAAATTAATTCCGTGGTAAAAGTCGTAGCACTCCTACTCAGTTGAAAATCCAAAGTTTTTAATTGCTCGTGTAACTGATCTAAATTTTTACAGCTTCTTACTCTCTCAGTTCTACGTCGTTCATCAGCAGAACTACCAAAGATAGAATTTTTTATGATAGTTTGCAATATGTGTGGTTGATCCTCTTCAGTGGCGTATTTACAAATTTGCTCAGGGGGGGATGAAATGAATAATTCTCCATAGACTTATGAGTCTATATGAGGGCTTCCCCTCCCTCACCACCCCACAAAGCCCAAGAAACTAGATAACATAGATAATAGTAAATATAAACCAGGTACAAAAAAAACTTCATGACTTACCTTAAGACTTGTGAAAAACGATAAATTTCTTGCTTCGTTCTGAGTTATCTTCTGATTTAAGGATACAATATTATTTTGAATATTCACTTAAAATTGCTTGCCATCACTTTTGTACTCTTGCTTGATATCGTTCCAAATCTTATTGATATTTTCTTGTACAATAGTTGATTTTTTATCCGGATAACACTTTTTATAAGTTTTAAATAATTTTTGGTAAAGTTCACCTCTTGCCGATGTCATTCTTTTCTAATATATTTCTCAACTATTAAATCCATTAGTTACCAATGTCGGTTCAAATAGTTCACGTAATAAACAGTATTAAACTGAGAAATATGAAAAAAGCGTCTGTATTTGTTCACTGCTAAATTACGAATGAAGGAATAATATAATATTATATACACGAGAAACACTATTTTCATTTGTTTTTGAGTCGAAAGCGCAGGATACGTGGAAACGTTACCCTCTTAATTATTGGAAAAATAAAGAAACCAATTGTAACGGGTTGCAACTTGCAACGCCGCGCGCCTCTAAAACCAATTCAAAACGTAAGAGCCAGCGCTTATGCCGTAAAATAAACATAAGTAAATTTGTCAAGTTACAATTTATTGTATTAAAACTATTTACGTTCAAAAGTTTATATATTTACTAATTACGAAATGAATGACTTTTTATCATGATAAAAATTTAAAAAGAAAAATAGTCGAAAGTACTAATTTAAAATGTATTAATGAACGGCGAACGTCACGTTGCCGTAGACCCCTTGTCACATTTAGCAAGACACCTCCACCCTTGCATACGAACGTATTTTGTGAACGGCCCCTAACGATTAGTCAATCTATATTAATTAGTATTTTTTTATAGCTTCCGCATACTCCTGAAGCATGGAAAATTGTTGCGAGTGATTTTAATTGCAAATGGAATTTCGGTAATTGTTTGGGAGCTATAGATGGCAAACACGTGAACATAAAAAAAATCACCCAACTCGGGCTCTATGTACTATAATTATAATAAAGGTTATTAATTATTTTTTTAATACTATTAAGGTACATTTAGTATTGTCCTGATGGCGATAGCTAATGCGAATTATCAATTCACTATGGTTGACGTTGGGGCTAATGGTAGAATATCAGATGGAGGCGTACTTTACTATACAAAATTTTGGGAAAAGTTTGAAAACAATGCGCCTAATATTCCACTACCGTCGTGTTTACCAAACACTAGTGAAACATATTCATATGTATTTATTAGTGACGAGGCATTTTCACTAAAATCTAATTTAATGAAGCCATTTAGCCAACATGAGTTGACAAACCATCGACGAATTTTCAACTTTCGATTATCCAGAGCTCGTCGTATTATCAAAAACGCTTTTGGAATTCTAGCTTCTAAATTTGGAGTGTTTCGATGACCAATAAATCTTTGCCCCGAAAAAGCAGTAAAAATTACATTTTGGCTAACAATTGGCTTGTTGCAACCTACACAATTTTTTAATTGAAACAAATCAGCAGCTATATTGTTCAAGAAGTATTCTTGTCGAAGAAAATTTAGAAACTGGAGAAATAATTAATGGTTATGAAAGAACAGAAAACGCATTTGGTTCTTTAAAGAAAACTCTTACTCGTAACGCAAGCGAAGATGCAAAATTGGTGAGAGAAAAATACTGCAATTATTTTAATAAGGAAGGTTAAGTTCTATTGGAAACAAATATGATTTAAAATGATATAATATATTAATATATACAGTAGCGCTCAAAAGTATTTTAACAAACACGTTAATGGCGATTTAAAAAAAAATCTTAACAGGAGCAATATATCTTATGATTCTGAATTGTAACTAAACGTAAAAAAAGCAAGAAGATACAAAAAAATGTACAAAAACGTTAGTATAAACTTTGGATATTAGCTTTTTTGGAGTTTACCGCGCTCAATAGTATTTTGACAA